AACTCTGTCTACCAGGGCGGCGAAGACACCCCGAAAATGATACACACGACATGTATTTGACCTTCAAGGTATGAAGCTGAGGATGTGCTTTCTGCTTTTGGTCGCATGAAACCGAAGTCAGGGCAGCACCTACAACACGCTGGTGCGCCGAAAGCTAAGCACATCTGAATCACAGCTTTTCCTACATCATACTACCAGTGCCCCCAAATCCAGAACGGTCGAAATGTTGGTCAAACTTCGCAACACGAGCTCTCGTTCTCATGGGCCTGCATCAGCTTCATCTCAGATTCCATGGCGTGGTATTTGTCCACCTCACATGGCTTCCAAGGTCCAAAGCATTCATGATAGAAAACATGGCATTCTGCCTGCTATCTCTGACCAAACAAATCAAGCGACATGTGCAATAGCATATTGCAATACAGTAGCACAAACTTGATTTGGTATAATACGGTAAAACACGAGCTCATACACCCATCATAACATGGCATAGCATAACATAACACCTCATGGCGTGATACAACATACTCTGACACCATGCGGCATCATGTAACACATTGTAGCAATAACGCAGCCTAATATACACAGCGCCGTGTGGTATTGTATCGTGTCGTATCGTATGGAAGGGTAGGGAAGAGAAGAGTAGGGTGGAGTAGAGCAGAATGGAGTAGAGTAGAGCCGACCCCGTATACTGTTTAATTACATAACCTTAACCTCTTGAACTCGAGCCCTGTACCATCCGGCGCGGACCAGAGATGTGGAGAGTTTCAGACAATCCGACCTTCCCATAGAACCCCTGAGACTTGGATCTTGGTGTTATCATGACCCCTGGGCCCTAGGTAAGGTACTGGGGGCAAGTTTGCCCTGTCCCTTACTTTACCTGCGACTGGGCAACCGTCACCCGCTGCTCGGCATTGTGCTGCTCTTGCGCTTGAAGCCTCGGGCTTAACTTGCATGTGCCCAGCCATGTTTCAACACATGTGGGTTTAGGGTTTAGGTACGTGTTGGCATTTGGCTTCGATGTAGCGAGCCCGTTCTCGGTCACTGAGGTCGTGTAGTTCAGGATTCGGAGTTGAGCCTTTGGAGCTTAGTGCCGCTTCGGTCCTTCGTACAAGTCTCATAAGATAGGGCTTTAGGGTTAATGTCCCGGCAGCTCTCTTTTCTGAAGAGATGTTTCCCTTGCACCCCAAGCCCCAGATCGCGCCGGAGGCAGGTTTCGCTTGCCCAACTCTGCCAGCCCGAGACTCTAGTTGAGGCACTATTAAGTCTGAAGTACCAGAACCTGAACCTTCGACCGTGACCAGTAGGATGCCCAGCCATCTCACGATTCGTCCTCTCCAACCTCTATGTAGTACAAAGAGACCACAGAACTAGTCCATGGTCGGGATAGAGTCAAAGGTCTAAGTTTGTTTGCTTTCTCGGGTGTAAGCGCCCCACAAACATGTAGAATGTTACGCAACTGTGACAAAGAGAAGCTTCATTCTACAACAACCCCCGAGTCTTGACGGTAAGACTACTTGGACTCTATCACCGAGGACCTGACAGACTTTTGAGCTTTTCGATCTCTTCCTCCCTCTCGAACCGCTGGCGCGTAAGCTCGGAGATCTGCGCCAGGAAAGGCTCAGGCTCGAGTCGTGGGCGAGGGCATCTGGACACTAAGCCCTAACACCCTAAACCCTTAACATACATGCTAAACCAGCTCCCATAAACAATGACCCACAACGCAACTTCACACCAAACCCCCAAACTCCCGAAGCCCCCCAACAGCAACACCAGCAGCACCAGCACCAGATCAAAGTACTGGCACGGCTGGGAAGACGACAAAACACAAAACAATCTAAACATCCCAAAAGACAGACACGAATCCGGACCCTATTCAACACAGAGGGCAGGATTTGATGCTTTCTTTGGTGCTTGTTTGTGTTTTTGTTGCTTTTGTTATTTTGCCCTGTGTTGTTCTGTAGCTGTTTATGGTTTTCTTGGTTTTTACGCTCCTTCCAGACATAGATTTGACTCTAACCTGATTCAATGTTGTTATGTTTCACGCGCTCCTAGTACATCCACGGTCTCTTAATGTAGTGTGCGGTAGCTTTATAACCCCATATATACCTGTCTATGCATGAGAAGAGACATGCAACTAGCGGACACAGGTCAATATAACATATAGTATAACATCTAGGATTGAAACGTAGAAAAGTGTGGGCCTAATAGTTGTGTTACCATACACACACATATATGTCTATATATATATATATATATGTGTGTGTACATCTGCTCACTACTGTGTCGTGCAGTGGTTAAACCCTCGACTTAATCGCCGCCTGCTCCTCCAGGTGAGCCCGCTTGATTTTCTCGGCTTCCTGGTGCAAGCTGTTGGGCTTTTGGGGCGTCTTCTGGCTGGGCGTATGAAGATCTATGTCGGGGTCTAGGGCATGAGGCTTCGGGATTTTGGCGTTGGGGTTTCGGTAATTGCAGGGCTCAGGATCCAACCCAAGACATTCGACCCTCCGTCTACCGGCCGCGCGGATTGGGACAGCCCGCACAAACCGGGCGCCTGGGCCTAGGCTTTTCGACTCGGGTGTAGTCGGACTCATCCATGCTGAAGAGATCCCGATGCAGCTGAAGCAGCGTTCTCCATCTCACCATATGGAAACCGAGTCCCCACGAAACGAATGCCGAAGCCCTTCAAACTCAACGTCTTCTTAACACCACCGAAGGAACCCACATTTTTGACAGGCAGTTGAGGAGTAAAGAATATAACAGTAGAGACGTGATTCATAACCGGCACCCAGTTTGGATTCCATAGCTAGGGGTTTAGGCCAGAGAATGCGGTTCCGTGTAAGGTCCTACTATAGACTAGAATTTCCTAGGCTCTAAACAACGAACTCCTACCCGGGATGTATACCTGACAGGGCTGTTGGGGTAAGATAACGGATTAGATGATGGCACGTTCTATTATGCTATACTGTGTTCTGTTGTATTCCGTTTATAAGATCTCCAGCCAAAACCCTGACGAGCCTCCCTGAGGCAGATGTGAGATCGGAGGTCCTGCAGGGCAGCCTTACAGCCTTAAGCCAGCAAAAATCTCAATAGTAAACATAATGACAGTAACAGCAATCATGATAGCAATGGCAAAAATAACACCAGTACAAACACTGATACGTATACGAAGACGAATACTAATACTAGCATTTGTACTAATACTACTACAGGTACTACTTTTTTTGGCTCCCTCTACTACTCATACCAATACTACTACCAATACTGAGACTAATGCCGTACTAACACTTGTACTAGCACTGGCACTAATACGAAGACTGATACCAGTACTAGTGCTTATACTAGTACTAGCACTGCTAGCACTAGTACTCATACTAGTACAGTGTGCCGGGAAACTGCGTAGAGCCTTTATTTGGCCCAGACAAGAGCTGCACAGTCTTGCAATCTTGCCCCAGTTGCCCCACTTGATTGAGGGGCGGGGGTTGAGATGACGGCGCCGTCGTCAACATTGACGAGCAGGTTTGGTAATCTTGGTCCCTACACCGCACTGAACCCTGGGCTCTTCAGCACAAGCCCTAGGCCGCCTAGGCCCTCAGCCGTACTAAAGCCCGGGCTGAACACACCCCAACCCTGAGCCCCTCAAAGCGACCAAATCCCTCAAGACACCGGAAGCCCCAGCGCCCTCTACTCCTCGCAACAGTGGCTGTACTGCTCCAGCCGCTGCTCCATGCTCTTCTTGGCGGCACTGGAGGTATGTTGGAGCCTGGCAGGGGATGGGGTCTCCGGTAGGGTTCTGCCAGGGTTCCGCGAAGGTTCTAGCAGGGTCGTATGCGGCTTATTGCAAGACCGGTTTGGGGGACTGAGTCCAAGACATGCTTACCAAGGAATTTATGAAGGTTCAAGGCTTAGGGCGTCGATTTGTGGCGAGGGCTTCCGGCACATGTAACATCCGACCAGCCAGGCCGGTGATTCATATGGCTCATTGTGGTCTAGGGTTTCGTGCATTATTGTGCAGGGCTTGGGGTTTCAGGGTTTAGGGTTTCAAGGTTTGGGGTGCGGGGGGGCACTATTGAAAAGTTCAGAAGGGTTTTTGCACTGGCTTCACAAGGTGTTGGGAGAAAGGCTCAGAACCTTCCGGCCTAAAACCCGAAACCTCTCAGTAGGGAGTAAGAAGCAAGTCAACTCGGGCATTGAGGTTTTATCGCCTCGAGAATGACTATAAAACCCTATGGATGTATTATAGGGGGCCGGCTCTCTCCAGTCTGGCCGCCATGACAAAGGTAGCATGGTTTCCAGACCACCCTGCGGTGTCCTTGCAGAAATAGGAGCACAGCGGCATCTGCGAAACCCTGAACCGAAACAAGTCCCAAGGAGATCCCAAAACTCTGGCGACGGCCGACAGCCCCAAATCCAAGAGCCGCAAACCCGAAGCCCCACAGCACCCTCTCAGCCCTGAACCAACCAACCCCTTAGCCCCAAACTAAAACCCGACGTTCCCAGAGCCCCCAAAAAACTGGCTGGGCCAACTCCGCCATCTGCCTGGCGGCCTCTTCCCTCTCGCGTTCCAGCAGCATCTGGATCAGCTCTTTGCCACAAGAAGTTAGGTTTCGGGCTTCGTGTTTGGGGTTGCGTCTCTGGTTGCGGCTGCGGTCAGGGCCTAAGAAGCATCAAGCCTACCGAGAGTCTGGAGCCCATTTTGTGCAGGCCCCCTCGCAATGAACACATCAAAACCACAGCAACTCTGTCTACCAGGGCGGCGAAGACACCCCGAAAATGATACACACGACATGTATTTGACCTTCAAGGTATGAAGCTGAGGATGTGCTTTCTGCTTTTGGTCGCATGAAACCGAAGTCAGGGCAGCACCTACAACACGCTGGTGCGCCGAAAGCTAAGCACATCTGAATCACAGCTTTTCCTACATCATACTACCAGTGCCCCCAAATCCAGAACGGTCGAAATGTTGGTCAAACTTCGCAACACGAGCTCTCGTTCTCATGGGCCTGCATCAGCTTCATCTCAGATTCCATGGCGTGGTATTTGTCCACCTCACATGGCTTCCAAGGTCCAAAGCATTCATGATAGAAAACATGGCATTCTGCCTTCTATCTCTGACCAAACAAATCAAGCGACATGCGCAATAGCATATTGCAATACAGTAGCACAAACTTGATTTGGTATAATACGGTAAAATGCGAGCTCATACACCCGTCACATAACATGGCATAGCATAACATAACACCTCATGGCGTGATACAAAAAATTCTGACACCATGCGGCATCAAGCAACACATTGTAGCAATAACGCAGCCTAATATACACAGCGCCGTGTGGTATTGTATCGTGTCGTATGGAAGGGTAGGGAAGAGAAGAGTAGGGTGGAGTAGAGCAGAATGGAGTAGAGTAGAGCCGACCCCGTATACTGTTTAATTACATAACCTTAACCTCTTGAACTCGAGCCCTGTACCATCCGGCGCGGACCAGAGATGTGGAGAGTTTCAGACAATCCGACCTTCCCATAGAACCCCTGAGACTTGGATCTTGGTGTTATCATGACCCCTGGGCCCTAGGTAAGGTACTGGGGGCAAGTTTGCCCTGTCCCTTACTTTACCTGCGACTGGGCAACCGTCACCCGCTGCTCGGCATTGTGCTGCTCTTGCGCTTGAAGCCTCGGGCTTAACTTGCATGTGCCCAGCCATGTTTCAACACATGTGGGTTTAGGGTTTAGGTACGTGCTGGCATTTGGCTTCGATGTAGAGCCTTTGGAGCTTAGTGCCGCTTCGGTCCTTCGTACATGTCTCATAAGATAGGGCTCTAGGGTTTGGGTCATGCGACGATGATGGGGTCGAAAAACAGTGCACATCATCAAGTCATTGAAACGCTGTGCCCTTTACTTCAGCCCTTTGGCTTCGGAATCTGCGGTGCAGGGACACATTTTCGGACGTCTGGAATACAACTTGCTGCTTGCGGCGTGGAGTCCCGAAGTTGCGGGTTCAGGGTTAAGGATTCAGCATCTTAGGAGTTAGTTGTTAATGTCACGGCAGCTCTCTTTTCTGAAGAGATGTTTCCCTTGCACCCCAAGCCCCAGATCGCGCCGGAGGCAGGTTTCGCTTGCCCAACTCTGCCAGCCCGAGACTCTAGTTGAGGCACTATTAAGTCTGAAGTACCAGAACCTGAACCTTCGACCGTGACCAGTAGGATGCCCAGCCATCTCACGATTCGTCCTCTCCAACCTCTATGTAGTACAAAGAGACCACAGAACTAGTCCATGGTCGGGATAGAGTCAAAGGTCTAAGTTTGTTTGCTTTCTCGGGTGTAAGTGCCCCACAAACATGTAGAATGTTACGCAACTGTGACAAAGAGAAGCTTCATTCTACAACAACCCCCGAGTCTTGACGGTAAGACTACTTGGACTCTATCACCGAGGACCTGACAGACTTTTGAGCTTTTCGATCTCTTCCTCCCTCTCGAACCGCTGGCGCGTAAGCTCGGAGATCTGCGCCAGGAAAGGCTCAGGCTCGAGTCGTGGGCGAGGGCATCTGGACACTAAGCCCTAACACCCTAAACCCTTAACATACATGCTAAACCAGCTCCCAAAAACAATGACCCACAACGCAACTTCACACGAAACCCCCAAACTCCCGAAGCCCCCCAACAGCAACACCAGCAGCACCAGCACCAGATCAAAGTACTGGCAGGGAGGAAATCGTGCACAATTCAGCTGAGGGTGTGAGAAATCACAAATTGCTTTTGAGGAGCGAAAAAAGTCAAGGGTGGACGTTGGAGTTACAAACGTACAGTGCGCTGGAGAAGTGTCAAGGGTAACCGATGGCAAATTTCAAGGGCAAAGATACAAAAGTTCAAGGGTGGACGCTGGCGTTGCAAGCTTGCTGTGTGCTGGAAATTTGCGAAGTCTACCATACAAATATACAACAAATCAAGGGTGGAAGTTGGCGTTACAAACGTAAGGTGTAAGTTGAATTTTGCAAAGGCTCCCATACACAAAATACAAAACATCAAGGGTGGACTGACGATGGCGTTACAAACTTACAGTATACATTAACAAAGCAGAGTCTACCATACGAAGACATGCACAGCTACAAAAAATCAAGGGTGGACGTTGTTGTTACAAACTTTCAGTGTGTCGTTGAAATTTGCAAAGTCTACCATACAAAGATACAAACATTCAAGTGTGGACGTTGGCGTTACAAACTTAGAGTGTGCATTGACATTTGCAAAGACTACCACACGAAGATGCACAGTTTCAAGGGTGGACGTTGGCGTACAAACTTCTAGTGTCCTCGAAATTTGCACAGACTACCATACAAAGACGCAAGAAAATCAAGGGTGGACGTCGGCGTTACAAACTTAACGTGTCTTTAAAATCTGCAAAGTCTACCACACAAAGATACGAAAGCTCAAGGGTGGACGTTTGCGATACAAACTTAACCCGCTTAACCAAAACCCCAAACCCCTCAAGCATTGAACGTACTGGTAAACCGTCACAAAGCACACCTGCGCCATCAGAGTCTGCTCCCCCCGCTGCAAGCTCTTCCGGAGTCCCGTCTGCGCAGGCGAGATAGCTTGAGGTGTTCTCGGGTTAAAGGCTTATTTCAAATTTATTCATTATATGTTATTTAAAACTCGTAAACTTGCAATTGTGCAGTTGAACAAGATACAGGCAGATATTACATACTAAGGACTTGTTTCGACCCGTCGGTGCAAGCTTTGGATCAAGATTTAAGACCGATGTTTGAAGCTCAGCTTCTGAAGCTCAAGTCGACAACGAATCCCCAAGAAGAGCAGCAACGGATGCTCGCATTTTTGTTTGCCTCCTGCATGGCTGAGTACACGAAGGACAATCAGAATCGAAGTAGAAGTACTACTCGCAAGATACAAGTACAGTAGCGGGTAGAGGTGAGGCTTGCAAGCACAAGTTTGCTCAGCCCCAAAACCCCAAACCCCGCAAACCCTAAACCCGAAGAAACCTTACGGCTTTCGCCTAAACCGAACACCCCGCTCGAAGCGTCAATTCATCTGATCCCAATGTCCCGCTTACCCCGGAACGAAGTTCTGCTCAATATCCAAATGTCCAAACTACTTACCTAAACTACCCACCCCTGAACTCGAGACCCTGAAACCCACACTCTGGGCCGGACCCGAAACTATGAAAAGCTGCGCTCAAGCGCGTGGGGGTACATTGTCCCCACACCTCCTTCGCCAGCCGGTCGTCCGAGCGTTGCACATCCTGTCTCAAGGCTCTCGTATCACAGCAAGCGTTCCTTTCTTGGAATCCCGTTCAGAGACAACAACGAACAAGTGCTCTAGTGGAGATTGAATTCCCTAGATTTCCTTCCTTGGAACCCCGGAAAAACCTAAGCCTGAAACCTTTGCTGCAGATCTGCCTCACGGAGCTTGTCCCGCTCGATGCGCATGGTCCGATGGATATCCTGCAGCTCCCGGTGCGAGACCTGCAGTGTTCCGGATTTGGGGCAGCCGAAGTTTCCAAAAAGTTTGAGGGCTGTAGCGGTTTCGAAGTACAAGGCTTGGTTGCAGGCTAAGTTAAAGTCGATGATAAGGGACTTGCAGGAACTTATAGCATCACACAACTTCAGGGGCTGTCCAGCAGTGAGAGCAACGAACCTCCAATCAGAAAAATGATGACAACAGGTAACAAGCAAAAACCAAGGCCTCTGGCAAGTCGGGCCACCCCCCTCCTCCTTAAACCTCACAAACCGCAGTCTGACACCCGAGATCGATGTCATAAGATGTGTTTGAGCACATGGTGGCAAAGAGGAGGATGACAATGATGATGATTGAGGGTGAGAACGGCCACGACAACAATGAGGGTGATGATGAGGATGAAGATGATGGAATGAGGATGAGGGTGAGGAAGGCGAATAATATGATGACGACGACGATGCCGATGTTGGTGATGCTGAAATGGTGGCCATGACGATGATGATGATGGTGAAGATGCGAGGAGGCCGAAGAGGAGGAGGCTGTCGGCCATGGTGGTGATGATGGTGGTGGTGACGATGATGACGAGGACGAGGCAGAGTAAGATGGTGATGGTGAGTTCGATGGCGACGGCAACAAGGACTAGGATCACAGGGATGGGATGGAAGGCAATGGCATTCGGCAGCAACGACACTGGCGACCGGAAAAAAAGCAATGGAAACAGTAAAGGTGATGCTGACGGGGATGGCAGTGATGAGGGTGATGGTGAAGAGGGCGATAATGACCTTGAAGATGGCAATGCTTTCGATGATGAGGTCAGGGTTCAATTGGGGTTCAGAGTTCAGGGTGCAAACACCAGGAATGTCTCTCCGCCCTTCGCGTCCATGCGACGTTTTGGTGGAGTTGCCCCGCTCCCTGGCTCAGCCTGCTCCTAAGGCCTAATTAAACCCTCACACCCGAAGACATCTTAAAACCCCTGAAGCATGAAACTTCAAAAACCCACGGCGGCATGCCCGCCTGGAGATTTTTCAGCGACGTCTCCGCCCTTTCGATTTGGTCGCCCTGGCTGCGTCTTCATGGAAATTGGAACGGTTTTGGGCTTAGGGTGGAGATTTAGCAGGGTCCGATTCTCCTTGCACCTTTCAGCCCCTGCATCTGGGTGTGTATTGAGCGGTGAAATAGAATCCAGCAGAGCATGGCTGGGAAGGTCGAGGGCTAGCGAGTTGCTGGAACAACTCGCAAAGTTCATGAAGTCCTGAGCAGACTTTATCCCCCTCTAGACTCAAGCACCAGCGCCACCATCATGATCAGGGTTGTCATCTTCTTCGCTCTGGTCACGGTTTAGAGGCTAGTGTAGGTTTTCGGATATCAAGAAGGCTCTCCACACAACTGGCCGATGCCTTGCGGTTCAACTCGATTTGCACAGTCCGGCGCTCGAGATTCAAGTCGTTCAACTGCTTTTGGAGGTCGCGATTCTCCTGCAGCAGCAAAAGGCTAGGATACAACACTTCCTGATGAGTGCCCCAATGTCCGAAAGAAGCAAACCCCTAAGCCACCCTCGCAAGTCGCAAGCTGCCACTAGTAGACCTGAACCCTTAAAAACGAAGACAGCCGACATCCCACGCCTCGGCTCGGATCTGGGTTGAGGTTTAGGAAGCCCGAAGGCGCTTTGGTGATGCATTCTGTGCTCTTGCTTCGTACATTGTACAGTATGGACTGATCTCTGCTTGGATGTAGGCTTTGTTCAAGGCTGGCTCCGCCCGGAGCCGGCATGCCGGGATTCTGCTAGGATCACCTCCAACTGAACAGCCTTGGCCAAAACAGCACATGCATCCGTCACCAAACCGCGAGCCTCAAAACCTAGCTTTAATTTCGTGAAACCCCAAACCCCACACTGCAAAACCATTAAACGAGAAAGACAAATCCTACAAACCCTAAGCCGCAGCCTCACTCAGCGTGAGCTGGTGCTTCTCCAAGCGCCCAAGCTTCTCGCGCAGAAGGTTGCGCTCGTTTTCAACCTCCTGTGATCCAATGTTCATTGTTCAGGGGTGGACTCCAGGAGAAAAGTACGGTAACATCAGCCTCAAATTGCTGGCAACGTGAACCGAACTTGTGAAATGTGGCGGCCGCAGCATACATGCTCGAAAGGAACCCCCTAAGATGGCCCACACGCATCTCTACCATGGACAACAGCTGCTCAGCCCCCGAACTTCTGAACGCCCACTCCCCGAGCCCTGGACTCACGAACTTGGCGCTTGGGCGTACATCTACATAAACTACACTGGTTTACTAGTGGTGTTTGCTGATGACTGGTTGTTGTCATGATCAATGAGACGTCAATGAGGACAACGATTATAGGCATGTTTGCTACCCCTGCTCGGGATCTCAGGGGGACTCAGTCAGTAAGCACATTTATTGCACAGACAACTCATGATCGATCCAGTCATCCCCATCATCAACCTACCAGCTGAGTCCCAGTGATCTTCCAAGGACCGTTGGCCTAACCCCCGCACCATCATTGAATCATATCTGCCCATCATCACCATCATCTTCATCATCACCAAAACAGCTGTTAGCACTACTTTGCTTGCCAACTCTTGCGATGCTCTCTATGACCGCGACTATGAATTCTCGCAACGCTTCAATGTGTATGAACATGCTTCTGATGATGCTTCTCCATTCGTGGATTACTCGTCGCTGCTGTGTATGATTAGCAACATCACCCGTGCACTACCATGAAGCACTACGTATTTCTAGCACAAGTAGAGTCTCCTATGCGTTCACTCTGTTTTCGCATGATGTTCGGACGACATGGGGCAGGAAAGAGCACCTTCGGATGATTCTGACGTTGGCTGGTCTAACCACAACTCAGCTGGCGTGGGACAACTGCAGAAACGGAAACCGTTAGCCCCTTTTTTGCATCAGGACTTGTGCAATCGCCTGAATGTTTGAAGCGTTAGCCCCTGAAAGACCCATTCAACTCAAGTGCCCGGGAACGCTTTGCCTCGGGCGTCGGCGGCGTCGGACTGCTATCAGGCTCCACTGCATAAAACCTCAGATGCAACAGGATGCGAACTGCTCCTGCTCTACGAACCACCTCGGCCGGGCTGCAGTAGGTAGCCTTCGTTCGAGCAGTCCTCGCATACCCGTCTCACATCCTGGCAGCACTGTCATCTGCTGCAATCGACCCCCACACCGTTCCACCCCACGCCCGCCTGGCACTGCGTGACTTTGCAGTCGTCGCAGTGCCACCATCGCCCGTCCGGCGTTTGCCGATAGCAAACGTAGTGCCCGAGACTGCGACGGATGGGCACGCACAACAGCAGCTTGGGGGAAGTTCCATACGCGGCCCGGGCAAACTGGCCGAAGCTGGCAATCTACTCGGCCAGCTGGCAGGGTTTAGGGCTTCGGGTTTAGGGTGCATTACAGAATCCGGCAAGCACCGGCAAATAGATAAACCCCTACACAGGAATACACGAAGGGCCATATGTTGGAAGCTGGAAAAGCAAGCTCAGGTGCAAGGACCCCCTATCGTTTCCATGTAGGTAGGGCATGATGACAATGAACAATCTGGTCCACAGGGTGGCCCAGGACATCAAAACGAACGTGAAGCCATCACCATGCCACAAGAAACACATGACCATGCGGAACGAAGAATCTGGTTCACCTGAGTGGCCCCTGACATCAACACGAGAAGGAAGTGACCAAACGTGTGGAGATGGACAACCTGGTCCACAGAGTGGCCCAGGACATCAAACAGAACAAACCCCAGAGCAAAGCGCGCCTGGGCGATGGGCCGATGTGACGCACGATGGCCTTGAGCTCCAGCTTGTACTTGCTGCGTCCACCAGGCAAGTCAAGACAGAAATCCTGGATGCAAGTAGGAGCTTCAAAAGCACATTTGCAATGCTCCTCTCGCTAGGCATAATGGCTGACAAAGCGCAAAGTGTGACGGGATCTCCACTTTGAAGTCCGTCTTCACGGTGCTGTTGCCCGATCGCGCCTCAACTGCAAAGCCAAGCAGTCATAGACGTGCGTTACGAAACGACAAGGCCGGAGCGAAGCGCTCCACCTGCAGCACCAGCAGGTGTGGGAGCCGCAGGTGATGCAGCTCCTGCCCAGGAGCAAGGACCCCCTATCGTTTCCATGTAGGTAGGGCATGATGACAATGAACAATCTGGTCCACAGGGTGGCCCAGGACATCAAAACGAACATGAAGCCATCACCATGCCACAAGAAACACATGACCATGCGGAACGAAGAATCTGGTTCACCTGAGTGGCCCCTGACATCAACACGAGAAGGAAGTGACCAAACGTGTGGAGATGGACAACCTGGTCCACAGAGTGGCCCAGGTCACAATGTGCCATGTACAACAACGCCCTGGAGCACCTGGAGTCGGGTGCCCTTCGCTTCGCAGTGACCGCACAAAGCATCCTGGCCCAGCACAGTGGTTGCCAGCTTCCACAGCACATGAATCTTGCTCTCGCGGATTGTGCCTCGAGGTATTCGGTGCGCTGGCAATACCTGCGATGTCGTGGTGCGAGCCGAGTCTTATGTCACAGCTCACGGGCAGAAAGACATGGTCCGCTCCTCGTGAGCATTTGCTGAACAGTCACCGCGTCAGGACCTTGCAGCTGCCACGCTCAACCCAAGGACAAAGGGGCGATCTGAGAGCTCTGCTTGGCTCCAGGACCAGGTGCCGGAAGTAGTCCTGAAACGCAGCTGCGCAGAGGCACTGGAAGCATGGGTCGCTCGCGAAACGCTCGCGAAACTTGCCTGCTCCATAGTCACTGCACACTGGCACCTGAAGCCGATGGCGGTAAATGGCAAGGGCCTTGCATCTTACCTAAGTGCCGGACTTCCGGCACTTGGTGCAGTATTGCTGGGCGCCCTCCAAGTCGCACGGCTCCTCTGTGAAGCGCTCGAACAGTCACGCACAGTAAAGGGCAAGACTGAGCATGTCCTCATCCAGCATCAACCTCAGCATTTCTACTACCAGTACCAGGCCAGGTACAGCAACCTCATCACAAAAGAAAGCAGCTTCACCCGTCAGTGCCCTGTCCCACGGAATGACTTCAAAAATCCTGTGCACACGCGCATGCGCCAGCAGGGGAGGGACATACTGCGCTGCGTGTCTCGGTGAGTCGTGTATATGCATGAAGCTACTTCCGAAATGTGTGCGTGCATGGGCTTCGGGGGTGCTCGCCTAGAAGACACATTTGAGATATTCAGCTGCTTGCTGGCATCTCGGTGAATCATACTACGTATTGGGTTGACGCACAGAAAGGTTTCTCCGCTACGATAACTCACACAATCACACACACACACACACACGCATACATGGAACATGCAGTGCATGCCGTGCCACCAGAAACGACATCACCTCCTGGTTCACACTATGACCCAGGACGCCGAAAGGAACAACCGCGGAGCTCAGAACGCGAAGTGCGCGGCGCTCTAGGAGAAATCGCACCGTTGCCACTCGCAAACAGCAGCGCACACCGTGCCACCAGAAACGACGCAACCTCCTGGTTCACAGCATGACCCAGGACGCCGAAAGGAAGGAACTAGCTGAACATAAGCTTGTGGCAGAAAGCAATGCTACCAAGGCCGGCAGGACACGAGCACAGGAACTCGTGAGCATCTTGTTGTTGCCGCCAGTCGTGCCCGAAAACTGACCTCGGCTCAACACCGCAACTGGGGACAGCGGCAAGTGGGCCACGGTCTGAGTGAGCGGACTGCGCCAGAGCGCACAACTTCTGCTTCACGTCGCTCCTCAGATGGACTTGACGGCCAAAGCTGCATGCCGGCATCGTTTGATGTTAGGAGCCGCGCTGCGCTTGTCCTCGGCAATGCCGAAGGACTGCCGCAAATTCACGGCCCTGTTTTGCAATGGGATGTGCACGCAAGGCGTGCAACTTCACATTTGACTGCACATGGGGCCCGACTGCTGTTTGGAAGCCGGAGGCGGCCAGCGCCTGGCAAATGGCGGAGACTGACGGATGTTGTATTTGTCGCTCGGTGCGGCAGGCCTGGCAAATCGAATTAACATAGCACGTGTTTCCTCAGGGATGGCAAGGTGTCAAGCAAAATCTGGGAGGCTTCTTGCGGACAGCGGGCCCAGGTTGGGAAGCCCGCGAAGTGCATTGACTTGCGCGGCTGGTGCTCGAACCTCTAAACGGCGGCTTAGGGTTCAGGGTTCAGGGAATTAAGGTTTAGGGACGAGGGTTTAAAGGTTTAGGGCTTGGCTTTTGCGATTTAGCGTGTGGAAGTTTATGTGGAAGCCTTAATGATCTTAACGTGTAGTGCAAGGCTCCTTTAAGGGGTTCTATACGGGATCTATCAGGGTTTCATTGGCAAGGTTTGGGGTGTGCATGTAGGATGCGGGGTTTACTGCTTCTTTGGGTTTTGGCATAGACTCAAAGCTTCAGCGGCGGTACTCGCTAGGATTCAAGGCTTTCTTCAGCCTCCTATA